AAAAACCATTCAGGATTTTGCCCTCTGAAGTACGTGTTGCGATAGAAAGCGTGAGGATTGACACAGCTCCATAACTTGACAACATCACCGTCGACTTTCTAAAAGTTTGGGGCCACAATCTACATGTATTTCTCGCTACTTATATGACATTCTATCTTCAGAGGGAAAAAATTCCAGATAGCGGAGAACATTGCATGCAGTCATCCCCGAGAGATCTTCGTAGTTATCGTCCAATTTTTTTATTGAGTGTGCTCTACAAGCTCTTTACGATGATTTTACTTCTGCGCATATCAAGAACTTTGCAAGAAGAGAAGAGCATATCAAGCTCACCTAACTGAACAAGCAGAATTCCGTAAAGGATTCTGCAGCATGGACCACTTACAAATTGTATCACGGGTCGTTGAAGTCTATCGAAAATATTACGTACCCTTGATCCTAACATTTATCGACTATGAAAAACCGTTTGCTAGCGTTGAAACAAATGCAGTCTACTCAGCATTCGTTGATCAATGAGTGGATCCGTCCTACATGAGAACCATTTCATACTGCTATCAAAACTGCACCACAAAAATACGGCTTTTTCATCGACCTCTGGGCATACCCACTGGTATAGGGGTTCGAGAGAGTGATGCGATATCGCCAAAGTTGTTCATCGCCGCGTCGCATTGCAGTGGGTAAAAAATCACTCGATTAGGACGAGAAGGACATTTGTGTTGAAGAAAAATTCCTTTCGCATCTTCGTTTTGCAGATGACATCGTCGTCTTTTCAAAAATACCAACAAAGTAGAGGCAATGCTAAAGGAATTAAACGAAACGGAAAAGAAGATCGGAATACGGATCAATAGGATGAGGAATCAGTTCATGAAGAACCCATGGTGCAGTGGTGACCAGGTCGAAATGGATGACTCTTCGATTTCAGAAATCACCTCGTATGTGCACTTTAGGCATTCATTGAACATGGAAAACAACAAGAAGGAGGAACTAGATAAAAGGAGGAGAGCAGCAGGGGCCGCATCCGGACCTCTCAGAGAAGTCACCGACCAGATAACGGATCCAAAACTCCGTGCTCACCTTTTCGATTCAACGGTCCTCCCGGCGCTCTGTTATGCAGTTGAGACGTTGGCTGATACTTTGACCACGTCAAGACTACTTAGAGCAACTCACAGCGCGCTTGAACGATCTCTTCTCTAAATCAGTCGGCGCACACAACATCTGGCCGTCTTGTAAAGCTCAGATCTTCGGATTCTATCCTATCTTCGTGCCCCAAAGATCTATACATCTATAGTGAAACACGGATGGGCCGGTCATATACTGAGAAGGACGGATGACAGATGGACGAGAAGAACTGTAGAGTGGATTCCACGAGAATGTATGCGTCCTCAAGGACAACCACCTACACTTTGGGCGGACGTGTTATTAAATCAAGTAGCTGTACTCCAGCTTCCGATTTATCTCAGGTCACGGTATGACACTCGCAGAAGCCGCCATGCTCAAAATAAACCACCGTCATGGACGACTGTCGCGCATCAAAAGGAAGAATGGAATATGTGCAGGAGTCCGCAGAATTGGTAAAGACGGACCGTTTGAGTATCAAGTATAAGTATCAAGTATAGAAGATCAATCGAGCGGCGATGAAATTGAGCAAGAGATAAAGCATCTAATGCTCGACACACAAAGACTATTCTAGATGAGATGTCCCACAATCTTTTTGACACCTTTGTTAAGTTGTCTATTGTCATTAGATAAAGCAATCAATCAATAGTGTGATCACCATCATGAAATGTGATACGCAACCATTCGCTGGATTGAATGTCTTCCTCTCAGAAAGGGAACCTGCGATTAAAAAAAACTGATGAAGTAACTCATGAGCTGGTTGTACGCTTTGAATTATTTCTACCACAAAGGCTATTTCAGAATGCAATCTAGAATATTCGGTAGAACAACATCAAAGCTATACTAAAGATGTGGTATCTGTCCAGCGTGAGTTTTTTCAGGCGATTCGACTGCAAATTGAAGTGGCCGGTCAATGAATAAGGCTTTGAATTATCACGATTTCGTATTGCGGTAGCTCAATTCTTTGATACTGATAATGAACGATATGCTACAGCCGTACGTAAGTGTCTGCCCAAAGTTCTAAAACATTCTGCAACATATTACTACTTTTTGGCAATAATCCGGATTTAGATATAAAAAAATTGAGTCAACGAAATTGCGAAAGAAATAAGGGGGGGGGGGGTAAATTGAAATTGAATACGTGCTACATCATCAAGGGAATTCGATAAAAGAGTTCAAGAATGAGTAGAATAAAATGATTTGCAATGCAAAAATGAAAGGCAATCCCATTTCTTGATAAACTGACTCTATTCTTATTGAATGTTTTGGGGAATCAATTACCGGCTCCGAGCAACACGAAATATCTGAAAAACTCCGGTTCTCATTATCCAATTCTCAGTAATCGCGCAACAGTAGCAATTACTGTTATTACTACAAATATATCCTTCCTAGTGTGGGCTAAGCAAGGAAGTCTTTGAGATTTACACACTGAAGGATTGATGCACAATTTCACAGACGTCGGCCTTTTAAGGAGTGGATTTTGTTTAATTATGAAACGGGATATGTAGTGCAGAATTTGATGTTCTCATCATTTATGGACCTATGTACATATGTCAAGAAATAGTGACATTTGGTCATAGTTCTACTGTTTAATAAAAAGATGAGGACGGCCCGGCTATCACATGAGCTCGTTTTAGATTACCTTTGTTCAAATAGAGCAGTTCCTTGATATGCAGGTTCTCACAAATGCTGTTTTTCACCATCTCAGTTAGACGGTATGCTTGTTTCGGTGATGATCATTGTTTTCGAATCTTATGTTGACAAAGTTCAACGACGATTTTTCTTTGTGGCATTCAAAGTAAGACCAGACCTTTTTTAGGGTAGCATAAGCAATTTGATCTGATCATGCCTGCCATTGGTTTACTAGCTATAAGAAATCCTACACTTTAGTGAGCGATATGTGAAGCTGCCCCGAATCCATCAGGTCCTTCTCTTAACTAGTTCGGTACATTATATCGATTACTTCCTAAACAGCAGACTGTTCTTTGACCATTTATTGTTACTAATTGTGATTTCACATAAGATCTCTGCACATTGACAGCCTTTGACATTATACTATGTGTGCTCATAATATTCATGACAACGTATTGTTAAACTGTTATTAGAAATAATTCAGACTATAATAACTTGAAGTGATTGAAGTTTATTCCACTTTACAGGCTGCGTAACTTGTTCGTCGCTGATTCCTCTATATGAGGAGGTTCGCCCCGAGAGAAATTGTCACAGGCGAGGGGCACTTGCAACTAACGAGCTACGAGGCCGACACACGTGTATCGGGCTCTATGACTCTGCTCTAATCAACAGACCACAAGCGTGGCTCAAAATGATTATCTGGCACATTTAAATTTGAACGTGGTCTTGAGAAAACACTCGAAGCGAAAGACATATTGCCACATACCTTCAAAGTTGAATTTTGGTCAAACTTGGAAATCAATTTGAGACGAGGTGCCATGTCATTCATGATAATCGAACACTCTTATCCTACTTACTCATGGTTTACTGGACCCCATCCATAGAGCGGTAAAAATTATCGGCATAGGCGCCTCGATTTGTCTCCAAGGATTGCCACTACTGCTTCATAGTCGCCTTCACTATGCCTGCCTTTACGTCCTTAATTTCTCTAGTGAATCATCAGTTCAACTTTTCGACTTTCCTCCTAGAGGTTTTGTACGCTTACACAAAGTGATTCAAGCCTACCACCGGCGTATCCGCCACAGTGCAGCTTGTCATCGCAGCACAAAGCACTTTAAGTCGTGTTGTGGGAGTGCTCTTTTGATTCGTTCCGAATGAGGCCCTATTGAGCCCACGAGCTGGTCCCCTCTCACCGGTTCTCCTATTGTATGTTGTAGACTGAAGCACCCACTGTGCAGGGAGTGTGCGAAAGTTTTGCTAACCTAGTTATTTGTAACATGGCATATCGATTAGCCGATGCTACTATCAGGTCGTCACTATGCAAGGCTGCTGCTGGCCGCTCTCAATTATAGCGAGATTCCATCCTGCGAGTGGTTGACACCATGACGGAAAACATTTCGGACATCCATTTACTCTTCGTATGTTGTAATACCTCGAGATTTTAGTATTTCCTGCTTCTTTTCGCAGTTATATTTTGTTGCATCTATACCCAAGAGAATTGAGTGGTGAGCAAAAACAAGGCCTCAGGCGGGAATCACACCGGCGTTCTAGCAATGCCGGGGGCGCTATGTAACATTATAACACTGCGAAAAAAAAATCAGTAGTTGCTAAAATTTTGAAGTATTACATCTAACAATATCATATCCGGGAACGCGTGCTTTACCACTCCACCACCGAGGCACATTTGCCTCACCACTCATTCTTCAACATCTCTATGGTAGCTATCAGCCACCAGCCTCTAACAGGTTTCGTCGGGCATGCGATTTCGCCTTATAAACCTACTTAAGCTGACAGCTATTCTAAAAACTAATGCTCGAAATTTCTAGTATTTTTACTGCACTTTTCGCAGTGTTACTATGTTTCATATACACCTAAGAACAAAATCGCATATCTGACCGAACCCGTTAAAGGTTGGTGGTTGATAGCTAACTTAGAGATGTTGAAGAATGAGTGGTCGGACAAATGTGCTTCGGTGGTGCAGTGGTAGAACATGCGTCCCCTGATAGAATGAGACGCAGGTTGGATTCCCGTCAGAGGCCGTGTTCTTGCTCATCACTCAACTTGCTTAGGTGTATATGAAACGTGATGACACTGCGAAAAATGCGGTAAAAATACTAGAAATTTCGAACATCCAACAATGGTTGTCAGCTCAAGTAGCTTTATAAAGCGAAATTGCATATCTGACCAAACTTGTTAAAGGTTGGTGGTTGATAGTTTACATAGAGATGTTGAAGAATGAGTGGTCGGGCAAATGTGCTTCGGTGGTGTAGTGGTTGCCGCACGCGTTACCGGTATAGATAAAACGCGGGTTCGATTCCCGCCTGAAGCCTTGTTTATTCTCACCACTCAATTTTCTTAGTAAGTTTTACAAATGGAAGCGTCGGAATTCGTAGCTTAAGAAGCCTTCCTAAGATGGTGGACTCGCCACTGTGCTTCGCAGTTCGGCAAACAGGGCACCTATCAATCTCAGTGAGACTGCAAGCCATAGAAGACTTTGACATCATTGTGTGGACTCGGATCAAAGTCATTCATCATTGGTTAATAAAGACTGCAACTCTTGCGATTACAAGAGCAAAAACGGTAACGTTTATAATACTTTAGACAACTACACTATCTTATCATTTTTAATTCTTTTCATGATGTGCATGGTGTCTTGTTTTCATTTTGCTAAATAGTCTTATTGTAAATACGGTGAATATCTTTAAACAAGTACAGATTTGTTTTTGATAACTCAAAATCAGTAGAACTCTGAACATTTGAATTCGTTGTTCCGATAAATAATTCTTTCCTGATATAATCTAGCTACCTTTAATTTCCAGATAAGATCATTTCTCTATAATCGAATATGTAAATTTTCAGTCGAGGCTCTGCAATGCTGTCGTAGACTTTGTCGTCAAATCTTTCATTATACCGTAGTCTTTCTTCAACTAGCTTCATGATCGGTATCGAGGCAGCAGTGAGATCATTTCCTCGGATTATAAGCAAAAAGAAGTACTTTCTGAAGTCCTTATTTACAGATTTTTGTTACCCTATGCTTCCATAAGTAAAAGCGATTCACTTTTTTCAAAAGGAAAAAAAGAGGGCGCACAAACACACATTTTTCACTAGACATTAAACATGAGAAAAAAGCGGCAACTTTACTTCTCTTTTTATTTCTACCTCGTCATTCTCGTTCATATTCATATCGGCAAAATGTCTTCAATCGAAATGTTCGCCATCAACATCCCACAGTGGTTTTTGAAGCTATGCAGGGTAGTGTCAGAAGAGATAGGACAAATTTATCAAGAATTGAATATAAGAAAAAAAAAGGTAAGAATAAGAATAAATAAAGGGTACTAAATCAATCGATAATCAGTCTAAATTCTTTTTATTTTGACTACCACTTGCAGTGGTATGATGTTACAGTATACTTAATACGTGGAGTGCAGTGCAAAACCGTTTGCGTCAGCCGAGATTCGAACCCAGATCTCACTCCTTCCGGGAGCGTATGCTGACCGTTGCACTGCCGACGCTCGTTTTGCACAGCACTCTTATTCACGCTATAACGCTTTGTCTACCAACAGCCAACCGTCGACGGTCTGGCGGGGCAGCAGCCATCGGCATTGAACCCACTTGTGTTGGAAGACATTGGATATCGATAATCGGTCTAAATTCTTCTTACTTTGACTGCCACTTGCAGTGGTATGATGTTACAGTATACCCAATATGTGGAGTGATGTTCAAAAACGTTTGCGTCAGCCGGGATTCGAACCCAGATCTCACTCTTTTCGGGCCAGATCAGACCGTCGACGGTTAGCTGTTGGCAGATAACGCGTTATAGCGTAAATAAGAGTGCTGTGCAAAGCGTGCGTCGATAGTGCAACAGTTAGCATGCGCTCCCGGAAAGAGTGAGATCCGGGTTCAAATTATGGCTGACGCAAACGCTTCTGCACATCACTCCACATATTGCGTATACTAAATCAATTGATGGTACATATTGCACCAATTCAGAAGTTCGACTTTCAATAAACCTCGGCATAATTAAGTGTTATATGAAAATCGAGAAAACTGATCTTGATTAGCTGACGCGAGGTTGGTAAAGTAGTCGTAGCAATTCGGCTGACGTTTCGGCGAACCACCTTCTTCAGAGCCTGGGCGTATGTAGTATTAGACTCTATTAGAGACGACTACTTTACCAACCTCGCGTCAGCTAATCAAGATTAGTTTTCTTGATTTTCATATAACAATTTGTTATTGGCCGTTTTATTGGTGTGGTAATGCTACAACAATGTCGTTATAATGAGAATGTGCCTCAAGCGAATAATTATTCAATTTTAGTTTCCGTGGACAGTGGCAGATGCCGAGATGAAGTGCCGCCCGAACAGACCCGATGACAATATTCGAACCGCTCTATTCACTACATTTTGCCACATCGCTATCGACCAGTTTGCCATAATGATGTTTGTGGTCTATACGGATTTTTTTCAAGACGAATTTGAATAGAAAATGATACAATCCTGACCGAGAGAGTTCCTGAGAATATCTTATGTGTGTCGGGAACAGCTTCGACCATAGATGTGTCGCACTTATTGTTAATCCTCATCTTTTTATTGCAGACTCCTGTCAATGTGCTTTCCTTGATGATGCAGTTTTGTGGCTTTGCGTTGTCAACTGAAAGATCTTATAAGTCCTATTACTAAAGCAATTAGAAACTGAAAGTACTTCGCGGTTCAATTCTGTCTTAAAAGAGCAAGTGAATGTCCGATCACGTTTGCTGTACAAGAGTTTTTCTAAGAGTGTTAGTAGTCATTCTAAGCTTGAGTTTCGTACTAACCCCCTTCATGACCGTTTCTTGAAAAAGTCATTTTAGCACTGAACATCTAGAACAAAATTATGTTCCAAACCCCTCCGCGCGTCTTTATTTTTATCATGCTTAAAACTCGCTGGAAGCACGAAAAACACATGAACGTGTAGAAAATTTCGTAGTATATGAGTCAATTTTTATCTGAAGTTTCTTTCAAGTCCTAGAAAAATCCATAATTGAAAACAAATAGCACTCCACATATCTAACAATCATAACATCGACCGATCGGCCCGCTGCTCAGCCCGTGGAATAGCCGGTTTGCAAATTCACCGAAAATATGTAGCTCTATCTTGTTTTCCCTGCTACACTGCAGTGAAACGGTCTTTTTTCAGAAAAGAAGCACAGCTTTGGAATCACTGGAACTTACGTCACTGAATGGTCACTAATAGTCTAGAAAGAGAGCTCTGTCTGACGAGGTGTAAAACACAAATATTTTCATATTATACCTTTCCTTCGAGTGTTTTATTAAGACCATGCTCAAAATTTCAACAGATCCTTTCAATATTATTTGAGCCAACATGTCATATGGTCCATCATGTCGACAGACGACGGGTTCTGCCCGGCTGATGAGTGTGTAAGGACGAAAACACGTGTCTCGGGCTGTACAAGAGCCCTTACCAGACACATGACATGTTGGCTCAAATAATAATGAAAGGAAACAAATATTTTCTTTCTCCTACAGCGATTTTAAAGACCTTTTTAAAAAGCAAACCAATTTTTGAGTACTTCGAGACATGTGCTAGCGAAAGTGCACTAGTAACTAAGTAGGGAGCTTCGTTATAGTGAAATATAAGCGAAATGAGAAGAAGAGAAGCGATCATGTAAATTCAAATTTTATTTTCGACTTTACAACGTTATGAAAGCGTGGCTTTAAAAACGCCTGCATGGTGTGCTAGCCAGAGATTCGAGCTTTCGAATGGTTACCAACACTCCTGTGAAAAATTCTTATACAGCAAGTGAGGCTGAATATGCATTTGTCTTCTTATAACCAAAGAGAACCAAACTTCATTTCAGTTACATCAATGGTTTTGAGCTTGGGGATGTTGAGCGCCAAAAATGTTAGTATCAGTTTTGAGAGAGAACATACTAACCTTGCGCAATCTTGAATAAGATTTATTTCTGAGATGATTTTATTATTGTCGAGGTTCAGTGAGTCGGTCTTCCGAGTCATTACTAAGTGCTGCTATGATTGTTCTCAAATAAAGGACATTTTCTCTAGTTTTGTGCTTTTTGTTTGAGCAGTAATCAGCACAGTCATACTACCTAAGTGGTTTGAAATGTAAAATGAATATTCAGCTGGTGATCACCCATTGTTCGTCCATCGTTAAATCAAGAAGAAATTTTGACAGTTCATTGGTACGTAAGTAATCTTGATTTCTAGTTGACCCAAAATGCTTGAGATGACAGCATCGGTAGCAGTGCGCTGCGAGGTTGCTGTTCGAGAACATCAAAGACCTGAAGAACAAATTTTACCTCTTGTTTGAAGAGTTTATTAGAGAGCGTCTTCAGTGTAATCATGTGAAGCCATGAAAGCCATGTTAGCACTAAGAGGCTGAAGAAATGTCAAAAGATTAGAGCAACATCTTTTACGTATTTCTATAATTTGCATAAAAAGGAAAACTTGAATTTGGGTCTGCAAACTTACTGCTTGCATTACAAGACGTGAAACAAATCCTTAGCTCCACCTATGTCACTTGCAACGCCAGAAACACGGACATCGGGTGTGGAAGAATAAACCATTGCAACAGGCAAAGTGAAACCGGAAACGTTGAAATTTCTAGCACTCTCTGTAAAAAATTGCGTGCTTTTTGGGTGATTACTCAGAAACTAAAAATTATGTTGAGCAAAACTTCTAGGACAACTCTTCCTCTTTATTTTGAAGATCAGAGTCATCACAAGAAAAAATTATATCGGTGTTATCTTCTAAACATTAATAAACTTTCAGATTTATTCATTCTGAATAGTGTTTATGGGCTTCTTCTTAAGATTGGGGCAATTTGCTGCACTGTAACATTATTCAGTACATTTTCGGTACCTGCAACCCTTTTCCAGTCCCTCAATAAAAAAGTGTATTTGTTTTGATAAGGATATTACATATTTTGAGCCATAGGTCTAGTGCTATATAGGCGCCTATTTCGTCCTATTGGGACTCATCAGTAGCACCCTCCCTCGGTTCCGTCGGTCCCTTGAGGTGTAACAATCCTCCAAAGGAACCGACGCCGAGTAAAATTAAGCACCCAAAGTAGGATGATGTAATTACCAGACTTTGTGGTGACCGGCAGTCGAGCTTACGGCTTTTAAAATGAACTATACTTCTGCTATCGACTGCTTTTTTTTTTTTTTACAGACCCGCTCAAAATGATTCAGTCTGATAAAGATATTAAAAAAAAAGCATAAAAAAATAAAAAAAAAATAAAAAAATGCTGTAAAAAAAGCAGTCGATAGCAGAAGTATAGTTCATTTTGAAAGCAGTAAGCTCGACTGCCGGTCACCACAAAGTCAGGTAATTACATCATCCTACTTTGGGTGCTTAATTTTAATCGGCGTCGGTTC